TCTGAGTCATAGTGGGACTGGCACCATAATATTTCCGTGAGGTTTCCAAATATATCCGTTGATTTAACTCGCTGAAGAATTCTTGCAACTTAACACCTGTAGATTCAGTGCTGAATGTAATCATCAAGCTCGTTGAGATACATTGTTACAGTGCCTGAGACCTACGAGCTGGAGTCAGCGTCCACATATTCGTGGTGTTATGCATCGGTCAGCTAACCAAAATATGTTAAAAATTAACGCCAGCAACTAGGGAGAATTAGTGGGCAGTCACAACTTCTCACTTGAATATGTCATAGGATCCGTAATCCAGGTCGCAAATTTTAGTGGGGAAAGTGCTGGTGACTAAATGGTCCAATGATAAATAGCCACTATAACCTCTCGTTAGCCCTTTCGCATAGTGTTGGTGGAATTACAAAATAGGTGCACAATGCACAGTAGATGATCGTGAGCCATGTGCTGTCCAGTAACAGCGGTCATCGTAAGTGTGGTAAGTCTGTTTGGACAGGTTTAGGCGACATGACCACTCAGAATTCATGAGTCCGTTTTCAATTTTTCTCAAACCTTTCACAGTTCTCAGTCCCACCTAATGAGAACTTTCACAATTAAGTCATCCAAACCTCACTGTTTTGCCGCTGACACTGGAAGTATTGAGTCTGTAATATTTGAGATGGGTTTACTATCACTTCGTGAGGATGTACAGGTAAAGCTCACCGCTAGTTCAGATACATGTATCACTGGCCATAAGCTCCTTCTTTGTACCGTTGACATCCTTTAAAAACCATGTGGCAGCTTTCGCTGAGATTGAAACCTGTTAAATAATCTTATTTCAAAGCATCTCTACTCGCAGACTCATTCTAAGAGCTTCTGCACAGACAGCTAGTTTTAAGCAGCTCAGAGTTTTAGGTGGCAAGAAAATTCTACCCACATATTTAGAAGTAGGAGATGATCCCGTTTTCTGGTTGATTCAAAACGGTTCGAAAACTGAGAATGGGACAGAGTTAGACAAGTTAACTTATGTCAGTCGAGCTTTTGATGCAAGCTACGACTAGTGTGACTAATGGTGGATGGGGATTTGGAAGCCGACTTTTCCACCAAAATAATTATTCATACTACCAACCGGTCAATTCTAATATTGTAGAAGACCAGTGGTAATCGTGAACCCCCTATTTCCACAAGCATGGCAAAGGGCAAGCCAGGCGGTGAATAACTAGACAAACAAACGGGAGGGCATTCATCATTCAGTAGATAAAGAAAGCTTTAGAAAGCATATAGTAGATATAGTTCCTACTTGGGTTTTGGTTCTATCATTCCTAATTTCTCGATTGATTGCTATGTCTGAGTGACCACAGCATGCCATGTGTTAGAGGCCTTACTGGAAAACACCAAGAATCTGTAGTTACTGGCATCTCACGCTCAATAACGGCTGACTGCAACAGGGCTGAACTGATTAAGAAACTGAAGATATTCCGTTGGAGCCATGTGGTGTGATGCACTTTCCAAAATAGATTTAAAAGATAATTTTCAACTGATTTAATTGAATTTTAGATTTTTCCCGTCGATTGATTGGGCCGAAGTGCTCGGTCTCAGGTTGACATATCGGGTTCTTGAGCAGATGCTTCGACGATGTCTGGGCATTTAATTAGTATTTAATTGATGGGTGGTGACTAGCAGTGGAATCCAGGATAACACGCATTTCGTCCTATTTGGGACTCGTCATCTGGGTGTACCTGCATTTCTCAGTGAGCCATGATGTTCCTACCGAGGCTCGAACCCAGTGCCCATAGTTTCCAACGCCAAAGTGTTATCCACTAGACCACTTGGGCCACGAGAGCCACCTCTTGTGCAACGGGTCATATTGATTCAAGAAGTCGACATGTCAACCTGAGACCGAGCACTTCGGTCCAGTCAATCGACAGGAAAAATCTAAAATTCAATTAAATCAATATGACCCGTTGCACAAGAGGTGGCTCTCGTGGCCCAAGTGGTCTAGTGGATAACGCTTTGGCGTTGGAAACTATGGGCACTGGGTTCGAGCCTCGGTAGGAACATCATCACTCACTGAGAAATGCAGGTACATCCAGATGACGAGTCCCAAATAGGACGAAATGCGTGTTATCCTGGATTCCACTGCTAGTCACCATCCACCAATTAAATTTTCAACTGAACCTTAATTATGAAGCTTCTATTCAACTGATGACCACTAATATTCTATTTGTTTCATTTAAATATTAGTTGTTATATTTCGGCCTGAAGGTATCACCTGCAGTATTACTAAAGGGAATAGATCAGATTTGGTTTGAAAACACAAACCACTAATGTAAATGCACCCATTGCCAGTTACTCTCTCAGGAGTATAGCGTTCACCAATAAGTTAATAGGACACGCCGCTAAAAGCCCTTAACGTTTCACTGTCATGGAGCCGGATAGCTCCTCCTCAGTAATTCTCAAAAACACTAGGTGTGATATTCCTCTTCCACTCTTTAAGTTCTCTATATCTGTGAACATTGGCGCTTACTCTGATGAATGTAAAACTGGCTTTATATTTCCACACTGCAAATCTGATTATGACGCAACGGTTCGAAATTATAGCCCTATAAATATAACCCCAGTTATCTCGCGAATCATAGCGAAAGTTGTTAAACATCAGTTGTCCGGCTATCTACTTGGAGAAGATCTTGTCACAAGGTCTTAAGGCAACTTTGTAAAACACAGGTCCTGATTTACTTGTCACTTTGACTTTCCAAGTGCATCGCTTGTAGTTAAAAAGCACATAAACTAGTCGTTGTTCTCCACTGCAACATATCAATAGTATTTTAAATTGTATCTCACAGTATCCTATCTGAGAGTTTGTACTCCTGTGGAAATCGTAGTCCATCACTGAACGGATTAAAGTCGTTTTCAAGTGACAAGGTTCTAATAGCGAAAGTCGAATTTATGTCGTCTCATCCTATGCAGGCCACAAGTAGGGTTGTAGTGGGTGGTGTCTTAGGGACACTTCTACTTGTAATCTACATTAAAAGCATTTGTAACTGCTTCACCTCAGGTAAACCATTCCTATGTGCTGACGACCTGAAAGTCGTTTACTCCTGCTAAAGTCATGAAATAAACGATAAGGTAAGTACAATACTCTCTCATCTTGGTGTACTAAATCCTATCTAAAGTTTAACATTGACAAATGCGGCTGGATTTGAATAAGCCGCAGCAGTCTCTATCTAATTATCGAAGTGAACGGGAAAAAACTACCCAAGCTCAACCCAGTAGTAGATCTCGGTATCGGATACTCTGGTGATCTGATATTTTCTGAACAAACTGATTATCCTAGTCGCAAAATGAGCAGGCTCCTAAGATGCATAACTTTCAATTTCTTTTGTTGTGAAACAAGGGTTTTATTATACAAAGTATGTGTCCGACCTGTTTTAGAATACTGCCCGTTTGTTCTGAGTGAATTCCGACAGAATGACAAACTTAAACTCGAGGGAGTGCAGCGGCAGTTTACCTCAAGGGCTCTTGCCTTAGAATGCGGTCTAGACTAAGCTGATTATTGTAGCAGACTGAAAATAGAAATATTCTTGAAAAGTCGTCCTAAGCTGAACCTTACTTTCCACTACAAGTTTAATAACCTTCTTTCCCAATCCTCCATGCCAACAACTAAATCTGCCTCTGTGGTCAAGTACAACATCAGAAATCACGAACAACCCGGTTGCTATAGGACGCTGTCAGACTCACGTGAGGTCCGACTTCTTAAATAAGTTTTCAGTCGTTTTGAATGGACACTCGCAGTCGCACTCCCAGTACTTATCTCTTCAGTCACTGGACTCCTGAAAGATGACAGGGCTGTCTTCCATCTGGCTCACGCACCCGCTTTTTTACTACATGGATGTACGTGGTTCAATTAACTCATGAATAACAACAAACCTCATTATTAAATGTAATTGTTGTTAGAAGAACTTGCTAAAAATTTGTAAACAGGGCATAAATATTGGCTCATACAAGTAATATGGAAGTAAGCATAACAGAACTACTTATTGTCAGTAAAATTCATGGTTTCTATACATGTGTATATACGTATATATGTATACATGCAAATATACATCACTTCTTGAGGACTCCTTATACTGTAGTAAAAATGCTGAGAATTCCATTCTGTATCACATGTACTGTTTTGGAATAAAGCAAATTATTATTCTTTCTGTCCTGCTGTTCTGTCTCCTTTTTTCACCATTTTGGCTTGTATTTGATTTTCTGGACGGTGAAAGATAATATAAATATTTGGCAACAATCTGAAAATATCCGAAAACCATAGTGAGCCCTAATCCTCCCTGCTGTGGTGCATGCTTACTGACTGCTGTAGAATACAAGCTCCACAGCGGTAATCAAATCTCAGTCACTACCTGAAGAGCGCCAGCAAATCTGAAAATTTAAGATATAATGGAATTATCCTCGTATTTGCACTTCAAATCTCATTGACGTACGTGGTAGTAATTTTCAGCTCCTGAATGCCCAAATTGTCATCTTATACGAAATAGTCTTCCACTGATCTGGTTCCTAACTGCGTATGGACTGAAGACATTGCCCGCTGCTGACTGCAGTTGATGTGATAACACTTCCATGCGTATTTAACTCGACACTGACTGTTGTGATGAGTCACTTGCAGTTAATATCGCTGCAAAATTCGTTATTTTTAAAGCGACTAGTGTTTTGCAAGACAGTTTTAGCATTTTATGGATAACCTACCGTACCTACGGACTGCAACGCAACATTCAATTATTGTGCGCATTTTGTATAAATTCAAACAACGGGGATGTTGAGTGTTATACTGTGCCCACTGCTTCCACCTATGTAAAATGACCTTGTAGATATTATTCCATTATTCCATGTGTATCTTACGTAACTGAATAATTGTAAGTGTGCCTACTCCATGTAAATATTGTTCATCATATTGACGATGCCTATGAACTGGAGTCCGTCAAGTACACAAGGGTGACAATGTAATAGATCATTATGTGATCAAAGCTCCACATATTACCTGTAGACCCTCTTCACTTTAGTAGGTGGAGTGAAAAGATTATCAAAAAGAATACTCTTTGTTCATTAACCAATCTCTTGAAATTTGTAATTTGCTTCTGTAATCAGTGAACACCATTTCGCTCAACAGATTTACATTCAGATTTTAAAATTTAACTATCTACAGTAGTCATCCACTGGGAAAACAAAAACCTGGTCAACCAAAAGAACGATGGAATGCAGTTGTGGATTATTGTTTTTTACTCTTTAAATAAAAGTGAGTGTATAAGTTTGGCTACAGCACTGGTGCCCAGAAGATTTGCTGAATATTCTTCCACTTTTAACACCAAAGCTGTGGTGAATGCGTTACTTGATAAAAAGGGAGAAAAAACAGAAAGAGGGAGGAAAACGCCATCATGTATTAAGCTTTATTCAAGTTAATAACTATAGTATCATTGTTCGGAAGAAGAATTTCGTTTGTGACCTCACCAGTTTAGAAGATGAGCGATATCGATGATAGTATAAGAGACGCTACGTCTAAATGCAAGTGTATATCCTCCAACTCCCTGATTGTTGGTCCTGCTTAGGCCAGACTTCTTGAGAGCAGTATTAAAACGAATGATTGATCGTCGAAAATTCGACATACATATTACGAGACCAGGAATGTAGTGCTAAGATTTCTGCCTAGCGAGAGCGCGAAAAGTCAGGCGTGGCACGACAGTGTGAATGCCGAACTTTGTTTCTCCAGCCTTATCAGTGGGCTGAAACAGTGAGGGTCGGCACACAGCATTGAATGACACAAATCACAAACTAAAACTTCTGGATATTTTTCGCTGCTACAACTTCGAAAGAGGCGCCGTAAAAACTGAAAAACAGGGAATGGGCAGTTTGTTTTCATTCGACACTTTTCAGCCACTCTAAACCCTGTTTAGCAGTCAAATATCATACGCCTCTGCCTGTTGACCCATACAGTTGGACTAATCATCCTCCCTTTTGAAAATAGAAGCCTCCTGAATGGACAGCCACCTGTATTAACTGTAGATCCCACTTATCTGCTTGTTGACTTTTCTTATCCCCTTGAATTCTGAACAGAAAATAGGGCTTCCATGGCACAGTTTCATTTCACTCTATTCCCTACAGTCTGTTCTAGCTGTCTCAACGACTGCCCATCAGCTTTCACCCCTTCTTCAATTGATCTCCTCCACGTGACACTCGGACCCACACGTAACCTGTCGTTTTCTACTTCGACCCCATTCGAAGGCCTTCCCGGCGAGCGATTTCACTTAACGGTCTCTATAGTGTGTCCAGTCCGTCACCATTTCCATCGTCATATTTGTTGGATGATGGTCCCTTGGCCGGTTCGTTTCAGGAATAACTTGTTGCTTACCCTTTCCAGCTGGCCATCTTATCTTAATTATGACAAGTAAGCAACTGTTGATGAGCGTTCGAAGGCCGCTCAAAATGCTTTCCGTTACGCACCAAGTCTCTGACCTATAGAGAGGCAATGAATTGAAATTAGTGTTGGAAATCTGTGTCCTATTCCCCATTCCAGGTCAGTGGAATTCCACACTGACGAATGGAGACCTATCTTGCATTTTCGGCCCTGCTTTCGCTTTCTTCGTCCGTGTCACTGCTAGTAATTGAAATGGTGCCTCCTAGATAAGTGAAAGAGGCTTCTCCTGGATTTCTCCCAGTGAGCGTGAATGACGCTTATCACTGGTGGTTAGGCACCTTGATTGTTTGCGTCGTTGATCATTATTGAGTCAGTTCGGAAAATTTCATTCGGTCTTTTGGAAACACAGGTAAGGCACTTACATCAGTGTATCCAGTACGGTATCACACAGCAACATTATATTATCCCATATAAGATTTTACGGAATACTTACTTTTATATTGGTGAATGAATAAAATTCATCAGTCAGTGGAGTCTATCTCAGCGAATACTCAGGGTTAAAGTATATGCTATTTTGGTGTAATTTAAGAGGTTTCAGTGGAGACACAGAACCTTCAGGTTACAGGACCAGCTCATTTACCACTCAGACACTTGGGCGTTGAATTCTGACTTCTATTAGTGAGCTAGGTCACCGACAACAAAGCCTGTAAATAAGCACTAATTAATGCTTCTTCCTCTCATTGAGTGAAGTCATTCGGGGTTAACTGCCTGGAATACGAGATACAACAATTTCAAGGGCTTGATGTTAAAGAAAGCGATGAAGACTGTTAGATTTTGAAACTCTACTCGCACGCTCTCTGAAATTTGATTCTGGACGAATTTACGTTCTCTACCAAGCTGGATTTATGTTTTCATGATATGTGAGTCTGTTACTCTGTCCGTTGCACAGCGACGAAACAGCTGTCCAGTGCTCCCTAATTTTCAGCCCGACCGAAAGCTGCTACCTTGACGTGGTGGTCGGGCTTGAACACCGCAATGACCCAACAAGCTATACTGGCTGGAACTTATGTTCCTGCAGGTCCTACCATGCCAGAAAGGTTGTTTGGATAGCGGTTAGACAAAAAGCAGCTACCCAATCCAATACTATGTTTGAAACAAATTCACAAAATATCATGCCGCATCGGTCGGGGCCCGGATTAACAACGACCGCGCTTTCTGCTGCCGTGTCACAGGGCAGAAGTGATAAATACGCTACTGAGACACACCAAATGAAAAACAACAAACAAAAAATCTCTGACTGGGGTACTGGGTGACCCTTGTTTGAATTTTAGATAGATACGTCTTGCTGATTGGTGAATACCAACAAGCACAAGATAGTGGTCCATGGCTTTCTCACCATTGCCTCCAACCACTTAACAAAGAAAAACCTGATAAATTTCCTAACACTTCATTTTTTAGGAAGGAATAATCTCTGTCATACACTGACTGACTGGTTTCAACAAAGAACTTAGAACACAAATGTCCACCAGTTCGAGTTTCCTCTCTCTCTCCCTCCATGTAGCACACAAAGCAAGAGAAAAAAAGTAAAGGGAGGTTCAACAGACAAATAATAAACAAAAGTGTGAGTGGGGGAAAAACATTATAGTACTATGGAAGAAAAATATTTTTGTCGAATGGCTGTCATACAGCTTACTGAATTGTATCCTATAAAGTATCAGTTCATGATGAAGTAAACATCAATGTCAAAACAAATCCTTACAAAAACGCATAATCTAATACGAATTGGTTAACTGCCCCCAAAATTTTATTACTCACTACACTTGTCTCAAAAATGTTCTAAATTTAAGAAAGAAATCAACATAATAAAACTATGATGAAACTGTTTCAGCTAACTTTGGTTTGTTAAACTGGTACTGGTTGATAATAAGTTAAAAACCTTACCAGTGAACTTTAAATTACCAATCCAGTATGCCAACCGAAAATGTAGTGTATTTTTCTGTTAAGTAATTGGGACTGTATGGCTTGAAAATGAAGTCTCCCAAAGGAGATATTTCTTCTCTGAACAAAAACAGTGATTTTAATTATGAATAAATGGGCGTTGTTCGTGAAATACAATCGTTACCATGTGTTGTCAAGTGAAAATCACTACATCATGAAAGCAGATGGATTTTCTTGTTGGAATCTTTCTGCAGTTTACATGTACGCCCTCAATAAAACTGAAACAGAAGTAATTGTTTGTAGAAATTATTTCATATTTGTTATTTATATGCTTAATTTTTCCAAAGTATTTCATTTTTACAGCACAGTGACGTTTGTATTTTCCCCACACTTTTGACCTGTGAACTCTTTTGGTAGCTAACCGTCTAAGCTTATCAAATGTGAACCTTTTATATCAGGATGATTTAAGCCAGTGTATGGAACTACTGTCTGGTTTTCTTCGCTGTGGATCTGAGACAGTAGAAGTGCTTTATTTAAAAGTCCGTTTTCTTCCCTTCTTTGAGTCGCATGTCAGTGGAACAGTGTTGTGGTGGTTATCATTGCGAATAGCGATTAGGACAGTAGGTTTGCACTTCATCATTTAGGAAGTTCATCGAGGCTGGTTGCACTGACGGACATATCAATATTTTCTACTGATTGTTACTTAACTGAAATGTTCATCTCTGTTGATATACTGGCCTCTAGCATGAACGTTTCGGCGATGCCTTAAGGTTAACTAGGTGCTGTTTGGTTGCTGGTGAATAGCTAACGTTTTCGACCTTTGAAACGATGGGGGCTATACATTCATCTATCTGAGTGATGCTGAAAATAACAAAATGCAATGTCTACCTAATAGTATTACTTCAAAAATTCAATGGATTTAACAAGTTTTTCCTCTCGATGCAGTCATCAACTATACTGTAAGTTCATGTAAATGTAGTACAGGTATGAGAAAGTTCCAGGTGAAATTATAACGAATAGCAAAATTACAAATAGGGACTGAAAACGTAATAATAAAGAAAGTAAACAGGAAGTTTGGATAAACATATCGGATCCATAAAATATACATGCAGGAATCAGTTGGCGAAGAGTTAGAAAATCTCCCAAGAATAGTGACAGAAAATGATTTGCCATCTACATTGATGGACAAGAGCATGAAACCAATGAAAGCTGCTGAACAGCTCTAGGTCGTCTGAGAGACTTTTCTGCTGTCGAATCTCGAATTTGAATGTGATACTGAGGCCGAAATTGTCCAAAAATAGGGTTTCAAAATCTTTGAATAAAACATACCCTACAACCAGCATACGAGTAATATTTTCTCCCGAGAAAATATCCTGCGAGAATGCAACGTCAGCATGTATCTACCATTCATCTGCTCCTGTGGAGCCCAGTCTATCGGTCGTACCATGCGTCAGCTTGTAAAGTGCGCTCGCTAGCACTATTCAGCCTGGCCAGCAAAGAGAGAACGTAGGTGTGTGTATGGCTGTGTAAGGGGACATCTAGTGGACATAAGACACTCATCTCTATTTGAGAAATCCTTCGAAGTCATATACGAGATCCTACCGCACCTCTCAAAAGGAGCGAGATCAGGATATCTGGGTATAGGTGAGGCACTAGCGACCTAAAAGCTGAGGTCAGAGTTATTATTCATGAAGAATATTTTTATTCCTTTACGTTCCAAGTGGAACACAAGGCTTAAAGCCAGAGGAAGTTTCGGTAGCAAAGATGTTTATTCTTACAGGATGGGGTTGCTTGACATTCCCCATTATAATTAGGAGGCATGTTTAAGTCATGTAAGGGAAAGATATCCTGTGTGATGGGTTTCATATAATTCAGTTGTGAATACATGTCATTTTGTGTACAGGCCACCGAATTTTCTTATCGGTCAGCCGAAGGTCACTTGTGCATTCAATTGGGTGGATCATATTTTGACTTTGCAGGTATTATTTACCCACGCCAGTATTAAAAACAATAAAACTCAGCTGATTCACCATTTTCAACTTAGCTTGAGAAAAAGTATTATCGTGGGGGCAACATATCCCAGTAATTATAAACTATAGCAGCCTAGAACGACAATACGTAATAAAGACCTTAACAAATCTCAGTCAACAAATCAGATGTGTCCGAAGTGGAAGTGTGTAATTTAAAAAGGTTTATATCATGGCAATTCTATGTTAAAAAGTGGTTGTACAAGATGACATCCTTAGATATGTTCCAAGAAAAATTCCCAGTTTCCCAAAAAGTTCAGTTATTGTGCAAAAATTCCTCGAGATAATTGTAAATTATCGTGTTTCTTGACCCACCTATTCACCACTCTGATCCTCTATTTTAGGTGACTCCATGGAGTGGAAAGTCTCTGCAGAAACTTTCAATGGAATTTGTGTGAGTCTCACCAAAAGGATTAACAAAATCCTCCGCGTGATTGACCACGTTGTGAATATAGCCCAGGAATGACAGTTGGTTACACATCTCCCTTCCAATAAGAATTTGTTTCAGACCTGGGAGATGTGAGTAAAATCGTGAGCGGTCTCCCGTTTGAAAGGGGGCGAAGTGAGAAGAACTGGGCTATTTTCAAAAATGACGTGGGCAAACTGGGAAAAGAGGGTACTGTTGGAAAATATGGGAAACATGGGGAAAGTGGGAAGAAATGTGAGATAATGTTTTTGTAGCGCAGTCAATTACAATTTAACTCAATCAAGTAAAGTAAACTACAGTAGCATTCTAATATAAATTAAGTGTATCCTTTGAGGAATTCTGTGAAGAAAATGTCAGACTACTTTATTTCACTCATTATAACATGCTTGTTTATGTCAAGGTGAACTTCTTAAAAGGCGATTTCGAATACATTACCGTGCACTCTTAGCGCGGTAAGTCATTAAAGTGTTTGTTGTGCAATATTTAATGTTAAGCTTATTATAATGGATACTGAAAGTGAAGTATTACCAAGTGTCAGTGCTGGAAATCACCCTAGACGCCTAAGAAGTACTTAATTTCTTTTAATATACCTTTTTGCTTCAGCTTTGTTTGTAAAAGAGACATGTCATCGATCCACAGCTTACAGGAGAATTAAAAGATTAAAGTTGCAATTGCTTGGTGATCTTGCCAAGAGAACAACTCCTGTTCACAGCGTCAGGGCTGGTGAATGTCCGCTAGATCCAACTTCTAGTAGCACGGAAAACATGCATGCTGACATAAAAATAACCCCACCAAGTAGGTTTCTTAACTTCAGTAGTTGACTATTTATAAGGTGATACAGTTAACGCTGCGGCGTCTGAGGATAAATCTTCCAATAACACAAGTGAAAGGAATTCGGAGGCAAACCTTAGGGCTACAGTCTTGAAGGTTATGATGACCACTAACATTTCAATTGCTGATGGCGAGAAGATAATGCGACTGTTTAAACGGCATCTTCCAAATTTACCAACAAATATAAGAAAGCTTCTGAAAATTAGTGAATCCTGCCCCTCAACTGCTATCGGTAGTAGAGTTTATTATCATATTGGTTTGTAAAGCATACTCACGCCTATACTGAGTTTTTGGTGTCAGTTTGCATCTTTTGGTAGTTTGAGTCTGCAGCTGAATGTTGATGCGTTGTCACTGTTTAACACAATACATAATAAGTTTGGTAGATATTCGGTAGACTCGTGAAATCGTTTCTTAGTGATATATTCCCTATTGGTGTTAATGGTGGTTTTCATAAACCGTCAGACTCCAGTAGGTTTTTGATACCAGTGACGTCACTGACATGGAACATTTATATGCACACGATCTGCATATCACTGACAGGCATATAGACTATCGTCTTCGCAACGTTATCTATGATAAGCCGGTCACAACAACAGGAGAAGATGCAAACGATTCTGCGTTGCAGGAAAGAATGTCAGCAATGTAAACAGCGGCAGTAGAACAGATAGCTTTATGGAATAAGGATGACTGCGATTATCACAGTGACACGTCCCTATTCAAGAGATTACCAATTGACATGGTTAGGAGCTCCCCATTGAATTACATGCATTAAGTTTGCCTGGGTGTTTGTAAGACGGCATATGGGTATATGTTTGCGGCTGGTTAAACAACGTCACAATTGGGTTTAAGCAATAACACAATTGCTTGCATTAATCGGGGGATGCAGAGAGCTGGATTCCTAAGAACTTACAAAGTTTAGAATTCCTGTAAAACATGACATTTTATCGGCTCCACTGTACGCTAACTTCTTCAGGTTGTTCACAAGTGTTCTTTATCTCACGTTATCATCATAAATTGTGCAACAGCAGCTTAGGCAATATCTACTGCGTTTTGACCGTCTTTACCCTGATGAGTTGGTTTACAATGTACTACTGCATGCTCTTCAACATTTAGCTAAGGACGTCGCCTTCTCGTATGAGTCACATTTGTACGAAAACAAGGGAGGGGTGAGCAGTGCTACTACTACTACAAGTACCCCAATTATGTAAGTTATACCAGCCTTTTATAGTAAATCTTTCTCAGATCACCCGAAGATACTAGCTCACTTCAAGACTTGCTTAATGCCCTGAACAAGTTGGCAGGTGCAGTTCTATCTTACAGTTTTGTGTTTATCCTAGAAATTACTAAACAGATAATGTGATCAGACTTAGTGAATCGACAATGAAACTGAGTCAGTCTCTCGACTCCCTGCTGCATAAAACTACCAATAAAGGCACGAGTGATGATGATGATGATGACGAACATGATTTTAAGCTACCGATTAAATCATTGGCTTTGCTGCACATTTTCGACAGCAAACTGGAACATAAGGAGTATTTTCAACAAATAGTAAGTAATTTCAGCTTAGTTCCCTTAATATAACTACCTTTTTAGATGTGTCAACTTTCATTCAAGGTGCAAAATGACGCAGTGCGATCTACGCGTCGTTTGTTGAGTACAATCCTTGATAAAAGCCTGGCAAGAATGATGACTTACAAGGGTACTTCGTGCAAGATTGGTGTCCGTAACTATCGATTTTTCCAAATTATAACTGGTATGTTTTAACAGAGAGAATCTTGTGTATACTAACCACATATTCAGATGTCATCGTTCGTAAACAGTTAACACTTGGGCGCAATGAGAAGGAAACACTTGATACGATAGTCAAAGCCACTAAAAATTGGTGTCATGATCAACGGCTTCGAAAAAAAATTGGGATTACTTATCAGAAGAGGTAGAGTTTTAATGAACAAGTGTTCAACTATTATTTTTTTAAATGTACTTCATTATTATTATTATTATTTCCACGTATTCAACTGCTTCCCTTATTGCAGGTGTGCGTCAACGTCATTCAACCTGATCCCAGCCAATCACTGTCCACCCTCCCCTCAAAAATAATTTATGAAATCATTTTTGTAAACGTGTTTTAACCCTTCTTACTATTTTCAAGACACCTATGTTTAACTGTATAGAATATACTATTCCCTCACTGCATTTGCTTTATTTTATATCAGTGGCACAGGGAGTTGTAAAGGTATTAGAATCTAATGGAGGTAGTCATGACGCTTGTAAATGTAGGAAGGTTGATTCTAGTAATAATTGTAACGGGTGAAAGTTTGCGAAGTGGTTAGTAACTGGGGAAATATTGAAAAAAAGATTGGTTGATTTGTCGTTTAAAACGTCGGGTGAATCATGTCGCACTTTGTCCAAGTCTTCGCCGATCAAAATTGCCCATTTGCATTCTCCGACTGGGAGCCTTTTGTTTAAGCAACACTATATTTGGATGGGATCGTAGCTAGAGTCAAGGTCTTTCAGAAGTTGATCCCCAAGAACCAATCAGATACAGGAAATGCTAAGAAAGGTTATTCCAAATCAAATCATGCCTGCCTTTTTGGACTTGGAGAAGGTATTTTTTTCTGTAAATCTATACTGTTAGGTAGGGGTTATGGCTTTTTAGATTGAGGTTAAAGAACAGTGTCAGAAATATCAGTAGATCTCAAAGTGCCATGACCTACAGTTACCTCGAGGAATGCATCTGTCGCACATGGCACGATTTCTTTATAGATCATCTGTGTGGTAACTGGGAGACATTCTTACAGCACACAAAGTCGACAACTGTTGAGTATAATAGCGTGTTTCTAATGTATTTTAGTGCATTTTTCAACGATTATGAAGCTTTTTCCCATCTGAATTCTGATTGGTTGTTCAAGGTCATTATGATTTTGGCTAAGATAGTTTAACTTCGCCGAATTTGCCACATAATTCGTGTACAGCATACATAATTCCCTCCATCTACTACGGACACATCTCTCTCGTTGCTCAAGGTCACTAATCCGTTCATTAAGTCGTTTCGTTTTGGGCTGTCATAGTTTAGAGTCATCCTGCACAAAGAGAAAATACTATGCAACAAACTCCTCTGAAAATCCTGGACAATATATAAGCAGTGTTCAGAATGAAGCTGTTATTATATTATTATTATCAATAATAAAGATAGACATTTTTTAAAGACCTAACAGTCATATGGGCATTACCGATCACCTGTAATATTATTTACAGCTGTTAATATCCTACGAGTAACGTAACGCTACTTATTATTATTGTTTCCTTCAGTTCCTAGACGAACATAAGGCTTCAGCTGCCCGTCTCCATTGCGTTCGCTTCTCTGCCAACGTTTTCATCACCTGGCTCCACGTCTGCTCACATGCTTTCATCTCCTCTTCACATGACCTCCTCCATGTCACCCTTGCACTGACGACCAACTCGCCGCTTACCTTTCGGGTTCCAATCGAGCAATGGCTTGTCTAGTGATGTCACTTGATGGTTTCCTCAGAGTATGGCCTCCAATCCACCTCCATTTCTTCCTGCCTATTTGTTGTACAATCGGTTCCTGGTTGGTTTGCTCCCAGCGATCTCTATTGCTGATCTTTTCTGGCCATCTGATCTTTAGTATTGAGCGAAGACAGCTGTTAATGAAGGTCTGTAGTTTGTTTGAGGTGCTCTTTATGACGCGCCAAGTCTCTGATCCGTATAGTAACACAAACTGGAAGATATGCAAGTGAAAAGCAACAAGTTCACAGAAGAAGAATCATCAAAGATAGGTCTTAAGGTGAACACACAGAAAAAAGAAGTGATGAAGAAGATTCCTGGCCAACAGTGACAGCAACAACAACAGACAACAATCACCATAAATGGGAGAAATCTGAAAGAAGCAATCTCCTTCATCTACCTCCCTCCCTGGGAAGCACTGTTTCAACTACAGGCAGACGGAACTGATGAGGATATCAAGGAGCGGATCCAGAAAGCAAGAAAGCCTTCATTTCTCTCAAATCTATGAGGAGATCAACAAGATCCGGATTTTCAACTCCAAGGTGAAGTCAGTTTTACTATGCGAATCAGAAACTTGGTGCGTCACGAAGAGCACCTCAAACCAACTACAGACCTTCATCAACATCTGTCTTCGCTCAATACTACTCAAGATCAGATGGCTGGCCAGAAACGATCAGCAACAGGGATCTCTGACAATTAACGGACCAACCCAGCAGGAACCGATTGTGCAGTAAATAGGCAGGAAGAAATGGAGGTGGATTGGCCACACTCTTAGAAAACCATCAAGTGAGTGACATCGCACGTCAGACCATCGCTCAAGTGGAACCTGAATGGAAAGCGGTGAGTTAGTTGGTCGTCAGTGCGAGGCTGACATGGAGGAGGTCATGTGAAGAGGAGATGAAAGTATGTGGGGAGACGTGGAGCCAGGTGAAAACGTTGTCAGAGAACCGAACACAACGGAGATGTGCGGCTGAAGCTCTATGTTCCTCTAGGAACTAAAGGAAACAATAATAATAATCAGAAAATATGCTCAAAATAAATTTAGTAAAATATCTTTGACTTACGCTTCTGTAGCAGGTGGTTCTATCAGTGTGGAAAACAAAACTTAATAGTATCTGAATGAACATTAATTTACTAATCAGATTAACCTTTGGTTATCAGTGCAAATCATAATTTTTCTTCAACGGTAACTCTTAATCATAGAGGCTATTTCGCAATAGTGATGGCAGTCATCAGTCTGGCGGTCATTACGTCTTAAAATTACTACTTCCTATGATTTATAGTGCAAAGCAAAGATTCCTAGTGACTCCAGTGCAAGAATATACGGTAGCAGTATAACTGTGGTGAGAGCTGGCTGCGAGTAAGCCAAAATTGTAGACACCAATTTACATCAATGTTTACGTCACCAATCGGGGTCATCAGAAAAAAATAGTAACAAAGCTTAACCTTGAGGAACTCATCAACCAATCACAGCAGACTTAACGTGTGCAAATACGATTCGCAGATGTGTGGCTTAACTTTCTACGAAACGACCACAAGCAGTACAGAATAAGCTTCATCAAGAAAACAACCAATCAGAAGACGTTGGTTCTCTTCTGACATTAACGAATAATAATGTACATAAAAATCTATAAATATCCGTTTAGTTTCTCAATAAACGATCTGTTGTCTGGCCCTTGTCTTCTGCCGTTACATAACTAGTATATTTGGATAAGGTAATTGCCTCCATTTGATGATATTAGATGTTTGTGGAGGCAATTGGCAGGAAGCCATGGACACCACCTAAGTTTCGTGGCGGCAGGCTTATCTGCAACCTTCACGGAACTCATGTCCCTTCTGAGATTCGAACTCGGTGGCACAGTGGTTAGGACTCTCGCCGACCATGCACATGGTCCGGGGTTCGATCCCCTGCCGGCGCACACCCGATATCTATGGTATGCCTGAATTTGGGCAACCGATATCCATGCTGAAAATTCCACACTTGTACTGAAAATACGGTGTGGAAATCAAGCTGTAAATCAAAAATAAAAAAAAATAAAAAATAAAATAAGGTCCCAAGGGATGCGAATGCACGAGTAACCTTCAGCCGACCAATCATAATAAGCGAGTTTCGCACAAAAACTGACGTATATTTACAAGAAAATGCATGAAAACACATTAAACAGGGTATCTTTCTCTGACACATGACTTAAAAATACGTCCCAGATATAATGAGGAGTATCAGTTGCTAAGTTACACTAGTTTCTCTACATGTATTCACCGAGATGACTGAAGGTAAGCTGTTTTTGTGAATTGTTTATCTCTCTTATCCTGTTGTGCAGTCTTCCCCAAAAGCTCTCGGTTGAATTACTATGGTTTCCAGTAAGAGGATCGACGACTATTTATCAAGAAAATGTGGATGGAAAAACAAATTGAAATAAATGACATCAGCTCTAAATCTATCCCTAATCGTAACCCCAACTTTAATCGTGACCCTAAACTTAATAATAACCCTAATTACAACCGTTATCCTAGCTCTAAACCTAACCCTAGTTCTAATTATGACCCTGATCCTAACCGTAACCCCAACACTTATACTAACCCTAACGAGCTATTAACATATTGTCCAAGCAGTACTTAAAAACATTATCTGAGTGAAATTCGCCGCTTAGTTGAACATCGTTAGCCAGCTAGCAAGCGTTCAAGGTCATTGGAGCGTTCGCACTCCTGGGACGCTGTTGTTGAACTTCGTCCCCGTGTCACCCAGTGCTGCAGTCAGTCAGAGACATTACCACTGAGCTATTCAGAGTGACGATTGACCTCCTGTAGGATTGACTGTATTGGATACTTTGATTGAACACTAGTAACTAGTGTGATGTGCCTAGGCCTTTCTTTGGTTCCTCCAAACATCTAATATCATCAAATCAATGTGCACCGTGATGGTAAGCTACCTAGTAGCATGGTGGCCATATTGCAAACCTGACTGATAGAATTCAGTCTGCACCAAAGATAGGTGGACTAGACACATCACACTAGTTACTAGTGTCCAATCAAAATTTCTTTCATTCCCAGCCTTCTGAATGGGAAATAAGGCTTCAGGATCTGAAGTCTCTTTAGAGGAAGGTGTTGTTGTCTTACAGAATGGAGCTGCTAGCCTCACATCCAACCTTCCCTATTTTCCGGGTTAGTAAAACAGGCAAGGTTTAGGAGTGCCTTAGCCAGGAATCGAACCAAGGCATCTCTATCATTAGCAAGCATTCTACCGCTAAACCGTCGATACTGTAACTAGGAAATACAGGATAGGTGTTTCGAACTCGTTTGAGACCCTTCATCAGTACACTTCCATGATACTACCGGAGATTGTACTCAGCACCTGCAGGTTGAGAGGTGAGCCGGTTGTCAGTCCAGCCACTGTGGCACACACAAAGGAATAGGAATATACAGATTTCGAAATAAACGGACCAAGGGTACTGATTAGTTCCCAATAATTCCTTGGTGGTATTAATTATTGGCGCGTCAGGCCCTCGAGTGGAACCCGAAGCGGCGAGTGGGACGTCCAAGGGTGACATGGAGGAGATCGTGTGAACAGGAGTTGAAACAGCATGGAATAACATAGATGCAAGTGAAAAGTACAGCAGAAGACAGAAGCAAGTGGAGGCGTGCAGTTGAAGCCCTATGTTCCACTAGGAACCCAAGGGAACAATAATATAATAATAATTGTCTGCTCACAAGCTCTTCAATTATACAACAAACTAGCGCCAATCACTTGCAAGCTTCCAGACTAGTTAGTCTTTCGAAATTCTCATGAAATATCCATGAGCCTTAACTCTATTCAAGTCGAATGCCTGAAAAGTTATTCAAGATAATATGAAAGCTTGAAAATAGTGGTGAAGTGACAGTGTGTTCATAATGACACTTGAAAGTCAAGACTTCTGTAGAGACTCACACAGGAGAGAAATCGATTTTTAGTACCCTTTACTTTTTTTTTAATAATTTCTTGCACGATATTGTCTAGGGATCAAGAAGAAAAACTCTTGTGAAACAAAGATTATACATCTGCTTACCTGTAACTTCAACAATTGCTAAAGTTTAGAAAAATGGCTCAATGATAATAAGCGTTTTGTAGTTTAAATTACGAAATTAATAATAATAATGATAATAATAATAATAATGGTAATAGTGTAACGACAGAAGACACTGGCCAGGCAACAAATCGTTTATTGAGAAAATCAACAGATATTTATAGATTTTTATGTACATTATTATTCGTTATTGTTAACACAGAAACAGCGTCTTCTGATTGGTCGTTTTCTCACTGGAAGTTATTCAATCATCTCTTTGTGGCCGTTTCTTTGATGGTTAGACCACATATCTGCTACTCGTATCCGCCCACGCGAAGTCTTTGTTCTTGTTTTTCTCATGAACAAGATTTGGGAAGTAAACATTGACGTAAATTGCTGTCTACCAATTTTGGCTAGTAGACAGCTCTCGTCGCACTCGTCCCCCCATCGAAGACTTTCGACTGTAGTTGATTGGGTTTTCTTGGTTCTGGGGGCTGTGTTGGTTTTTCATGCACTTTGGGATTCCGGCACTCGCTGACGTTCACCTGTTTCTCTTTGTTTACATCTGCGATTGTATCTACGTAACGCCGTCTCAAAGTGACCACGTGTGATCCTTCCCAGTTTGGATTCTGTTTGCCTGACCCTGGCGCTCATTCGTTGTTGTTTCTCCTCACACTTTCATATGCTGCTTTCGCCCTAACTCCCAACAGCGTTCTAAGTAACAGCCTCTTCGCTGACAGATCTTGAACACCACTCAGCTGCGCAACAGCCTCGAAGTTCTGCCCAAAGATCCATATGTCTCCATCAAAAACTGCATGGCATAGGCTTTCCATTCATCGGTAGGCAGCGAACCTGGGTTAGTGCAGACAGCTCTCACCAGACCAGCATCTTGATGGATTCTGGTAAGTGAGGTAAACATTTAAGGCAAGCTAGATGCGTTCAAGATTAAGTGTAGTAGTAATTTAAGGGTATGGATATTAGGTGATAGACAGTTACTTTAGGCTTTTCAATATAGTTTGAAGTCCATAACTAATTTTACTCTCATCACTCTTCTCAAAATTTCAGGCGGTAAATGGTTAATCATCTCTATTCTGTTCTTTTAATTTACTTTTTATCAGAGACTCCTATCAGCCTTAATGAATTGATCGTTTTCTTTTCAGTGCTATCCATTTTATCTGTTGGAGTGATATCATCAATTGTAGGAGAACACACATAATGATGATTTTGTTGTTCATGGTCAAAGTTTATTTCATTGTTGTTGGGTTATCTGACAACTGAGGTTTTATTATCCTTCCAGAATGTGAGTTTATTTCTACAGATAGTATGATAGATTACTAGTGTTAGATTGAAAATAATTCTCGGAATGATTGTTATTCTGCATTCCTTGTATTCTAAGTGGAACATGGGGACTTCAGAGACACATTGCCACTTCACAGTGTTCTCCACCATCACTTTCAACTGGCCTGACGACTGCCCACAAGCTTTCAATCTCTCCTCTTCACACAGTGTCTTCTATCTCACCCTCAGACGACTAACGCTTTGCTTCCCATTCGGGTTCCAATCGAAGGCCATATTGGCATGCAACCTTACACAACAACCTTTTCAGTGTGTGTCCAATCCACCCCCATATTTAATAGGCAATAGGTTGTCTACTGAATCACCATCTGCTGGAGTTCTTTATTCTTTCTAGCTATCTGAACTTCAGTATCAAGAGAAGGCAGCTATCTGTTGGTGAAAGTATACAGCAGGCTGTCGTAAGTGCTTTTGGTGACGCATGCTTCAAGTTTCTAAACCATATGGAAACACTATCTGACTTTTTAGTGCGATGCAGATTGCTGGGAAGCGGCCAAAACTGAAATCAACATTTTAAGTCAATAACTGAAGAGGTATAAGTGTTTATTCCTTAAATCTGGATTCGATTTACGTTGTGGACATGAAATAACCTCATTGGATAACTTGTTTAACATTGGGCCGTTTACCAACCAATCAGAACAATTTATTCTTCTCCGATCTGGACGAACTTTAATGTGGCTAAGAATGTATAAATATGATGTATTTTTCCTTAATAAGGGTCAGATATCAAGTTTCTTTGGCAGTCAAACCCGTACCTTAACTTCATTGACTTTAAAATGGCCTTCGACGGCGCTGACCGAGAAGTAATTTGGAAACTGCTTCAACACAACAGTATGGCGTGCAGTGCCCCAAATCTTTATCAGTCTCATTCATCAGTTAGCTGTATGACAGTGCCTGCCACGTACCAGTTAGCTGGTGCACAACAGAAAAATCAGTGAAGTCTGGCTTTAAAGTGAATACAGGAGTAACACAAGGCTGGCTGGCTGTCTATTATCACCCACGATAATGTTCCTAATTGTGATGGACTAGATTATGCATCAGACTGTGTGCTGGGAGTACTGTACTGACTGGTAAGAAGACTCTAGAGGATCTGGATTTCGCTTGTGGGTGACTTATGTTTAATATCACACACACAGACTCGAAGACTTGCAGGCAAGCGGAAACCAACAGAATGGGAGAAGGGGCGGGCAGTGTAGCGAAGATAGGACTAACTCCAGGTGAACATAGAGAAGGTGGAGACGGGGGTGATGAAGACAACCATGCACCAACAGCGACAACAACCAGCACCAATCACCATCAACGGAAGAGATTTGACAGAGGTTACTGCCTGCCTTCACTTATCTGACTGGGAAGCTAGCACGGTTTCAACCAAAGGCAGGCAGGTAGGCAGTTGGACAGCACGGGTGAAGACGTGAAAGCCAGCCAGCCAGAATCAGAAAGGCAAGATACGCCTTCATCAACCTGAAACCGGTCTGGAAATCTTCCTCAGTTACTCAGCCAGTCAGCATGAAGAACAAGATTCAGATTCTATTCAACACAAATGTGAAGTCAGTCAGTCAGTTCTTCTATATGGGTCAGAAACTAGGCTGCCACAGACTTTTATAAATAGCTGCCTTCGCTGGCTCCATACTGAAGACCCAATGGCATGGCAGAAAGAATTAGCAACAGGAAACTGTGGCAATGAACAAACCAATGAAGCAGGAGCTGATTGCTCAAGAAATATGTAGAAGTAAATGGAGATGGATTGGGAGCACGCCACTGAGGAGACCATCGAGTGGAATCCGAATGGAGAGTGACGAGTAGGTCGTCAGGGCGAAGGTGACATGGAGGAGATCATGTGTCTAGGAGAAGGAGATGAAAGATTCTGGGCAGTAATTGTGGGCACAGCCAGTTGAAGAGAACAGCAGAAAATAGAAGAGAGTGGAGATGTGTTGTTGAAACCCTATGTTTCACTCGGAACCCAAGGGAATAATAATAAAGATAATAATACCAAGTTTCTTATCTTCTACCGTTGTAATTTAACACCATTTTTAAAAATTCAGATCATGTTTCCTTATGCTAAGATTCCAAGAATTACGCTGATTTTCAAAAGATACCGTATTTAATATAACGTTGTAAGTAAACAGATTTTAAAAATTTAACTTACGAGTTACTTCTGATTTAATCAGTTAAAAGAACATAGAAAAGCACCCTGAGATTAATAATATTTAGACAAATCTAAATAAATCATTATACATACCTGTTATTTGGTTGATGTTAGTTAGCAGTGGAATCCAGAATGCATGTTTCGTCCTAATCGAGACTCATCGACCAGATTCATCTGCTTCCCCAATAAGTGATGATGTTCATGTTGAAAATTAAAGTAACCTCAACTAATTCACAAATACTATTCAATAGAATGTTTCAAACTTTGACTGGACACTGGTAACTCGTGTAATGTGTCCAGTCCTCCTATATGTTTGGTGCAGACTGAATTCTATCAGTCAAGTTTGCAATGTGGCTACCATACCACTGGGTGGCTCGACACTATAGCGCACTGTGGATTGTTGACATTAGATGGCTGGAGGCAATCGGCCACAGAAAGCTTTGGAGACCATCTAGGTGAGTGAGACATGGCCACTGAAAGTGGAGGGCGTGAAAAGGCTAGGTGTCTTTGATCATAGGTGCCTGCCTTCTATTTCCCATGTAAAGTGGTATAATAAGGTGAGCAATAGTGAGGTTAGGCCTAGGTCGAGTGCTAGTTAAGGAGTAGGAGGAGAAATCAATAGACGAGGTTGTGAAGCGGATGAATCGATTGTGATGCTTAGGACATGTGTTACGCAGACATCTTCAGCCATCAATCGCCTTCCTCAACCGACGGGCGATGCTACCTGACACAAGATCGACCAGGTTGGGAGAGGGCTAGCACGTGATAGTCTTATATCACATTACATGAGAATTTTTCAAACACCTTGAATCTTCAATTAGTTACAAGTAATTTAGAAAAAAGCTCAGCAATTGCACTGCATGCATTAACACATAACCACACAATAGCATGGTGGGAGAGGGTTAAGATTCTAAGAAGTAATCTATGTAGGTGGAGAGAGAGGTCGATTACTGACTGAATCCTGCCTGGTTCATTGAGTCTACACTCAAACAACACATGCAACAGAAATGACTCAATGCAAATACTAGAGATATGCATGGAAGATATTATTACCACCAGTCAGTCAAATCAGAGGAGGACAATAAATAATTTTAAAGTTCTATTTCAGTTCAATTCACGTACATCATAACATTCTAACAAGTTATGTATTTTGACTATAAAAACACTCGTCTTATTTCCCATCTGATTGTATTCGATCAATAACACTCATATTATTATTTCTGAATGTACATTATCCCATATTGATTTTTATTCAAATGTCCAATCACCAATTTCACTCATGTATATAAATGAAGGAAAAAGTTGTGTGAGTAGTGTCTTGATGTGATTATGAGTGGCAACAATTTATGCTCGAAACGTGGTCATCAGTTAATATTACTGTATAACACTACGCTGTGTGATTTATCAAAATAAAACCTTATCCATAATGGAGTTATACTCTACCGCCACAGTGCCCAAGTTTTATACTTATATCAATAGTTACAACGGATGGCATTTCCATACGGAACAAAGGAACAAAGACAGTACAATAAGACATTAAAATCAGAAGAAAAATGTCAATTTACTATCACTTACCTCGATAAGCTGTTTAAAAATGTGTTTGTTTTTTTTCCTCCGTTTTATTGAAGTAGTTAAACAACTAAGAGATTCAAAATTGAAGGATTCTGAAACACTTTGCTTTTTAATGAATGAAAAAATAACTAAAATTCGAGTACTTCAGTCTTGATTGAAAGGAACCACTCGATGTGTTCTTTAATATACAGTTTGCCAAACTTCTACGAGTTACACACACACACACACACACACAGAGTCCAGAATTATTCCGATAAGAATAGCTAAAACACAGTTTCATGTGATACAGTCTGTGGTACTGCTCAACAGTTAATAACTTACGTGAAAAACACAAAAATACCTCAACAATAATTAAGCATTGGAAAACCAGCCAGGGAGTAATAAACAACCAGCTGTTTCGTCAGCCTAGTTTGGGACTCCTCGGCAGTACACTGACAGAGTTCGAACCCACAAGCTTCCTGTTCCAAGGTTAGCTAGCCCGTGGAGCATTAAGTCACTGAGACCCGCCAATCCAGTGGCCAGCCAGCCTGTGAATTCCAGCTTCTGACAATCAACGCTCGATGTAGGGCGACTGTCGCCAGCCAGTTTCATCGCTGGTGAGTGTTTGTCCTTACATCCAACCTGCTGTACCTCGCTGGTTTGTCGCAACTTCTTACTAGAACCCAGGTAACCAACCACCTACCTGAATGGGACCAATCACTAGTGAATATCAGATTAATATTTAAGCGTTTGCAAGAATCAAACAGAACAAAACACGTTTCCCACAAACAGTCGAAGGTCAAGCAGTGACTCAATGGAGTAACCTTGACCTCACTTATACAAAACAGCAGTAGTAGAACAACACAATGTTAGCAACAACAGCAAAGAGAAGCATTAAGATTAGGGATCAACCAAGCAGACTTAGCAGCAGATAGCCTTAAGAGAAGAATCTCCAGTTCCTTAGAGAAGACATTTCCTGCGGCAACTCTCCAGTCGATCACTGCTTCGAAACAATATGAAGGATAGACTTCCACATACGACCACTTCAGTGTGCATATATCAGTTCACCTACTTCTGTGGAGCTAGGCACATAGGTCATTCTTTGCGAGTCCTATCAAAACGTGTTGGAGAACATTACTCAGCATGACTACAAACAGGTGGCATTGGTTTAATCAGAAGCGCCATAGCTGAACACCTCGCCAACATAAAGTGAAATAAAATAAAACAGAACAAAGAATGGAACATGGAATAAAGAAGGATAACAAAGTTTTATTTTAATTACATGATAAACTGAAGACCATCGTAACGAAAGAGATTGTACAAATTGTTTTTGTAAACAAAGTTCTGGCTTTATGTTATGTATTGCCAAAGCGTCTGTTATACAAAGCAAATGCACTCGTGTCCCTTTCCGCAAACTTTGTCGAAATTTGTAGACTATATTAAAAGATGTGTCAGATGCTGAGTGGTCAGTGTCTACAATATGTTGCAATATCGATAAAATGATACCTCTACGCTCTTCTTTGTTCAGTCAAACTGGAAGGTGCTCTCGAATGCAGAGGCGAGATATGTTTCTCGATGAACGTCCTACGTACTTAGCACAGCAAGAGCAGGTGAATATATGAATACACATGGAATTAGACAATCGAGGTAACATTCCCTTGACATTAAGATGAACCAGTGGACGCCCAGATTAGGTTAATCGTAAAGTGGCAGCAAAGAACGTTATTCTCAATGATCCCGTCGGAGGATTTTTAAGTACCTCACTCTCAGTGTCACCTCTAAATTCTAAGTTTAGGTGCAGCTCATTTTTAGCTAGCTTTTCAACCTATATATGTCCAAACCAAGTTCACTTTTAACAGTTTGAAAAAATTTGGGCATTGGGTATATGATATTCATTATAATAAAGGTTTTTGTATTTCCCAATGAATGAAAAACAAAACGATATTGTTTTTACTGACGTTTCGGTATTTAATGCTAATAGCTTTATCAAAGTAGTATTATTAAACCGGAATTTACAAAATCCACTCAGCATATATATAACAAAGAGTTAAGAGCTGAGAAAATAAACTACTTAGGTCAAGTTAAAAGGGGGTATATTGAAAGGCAAAATAACAATGAAGATCACTAAACCAAATATCAAAGGTAATAGTACATCTGTTATGGTATCAAAACAAAGTTTACTAACTTGATCATCGTTCGTCAGTCTGGGGTCATTTTTTGTTGTTGTCAAGTTGGTCAATTGGTAAAGATAACAAAACCAAGTGTAGATTGTTGGATTTGATCAGTGTTTAAAATTATAAAGGCAGTGTGTGTTTACATAGTGAACTTGCATATCACATTCGTGTTGATTTTGTCACTTCATGGGGGAGGGAGGTGTTGTAACCAGGTCAGATTCTGTCTTAGTCCATCATTCCTATTCACTCCAGACAATTTGGATTCCACTTGATAAGAAGTGCTTCTGATGGTATTAGACGTTCTTAGTGATTTCTGAAGTTTTTCTGGATTATTTCAATATTGTCAAAATCAATTTCGTGACCTGATTCTATAGCGTGTAGACGAGCTATGGCTGATGATTTTTCAAGCTTTTTTAGTTCAACCGGATTTCTCGGTAGTCGAACAGATGCTCTACGGTGTTCATTTCTTCTGATAACCTTGATTTCTCGCTATGTCTGTCCGATGTATATCGCAACACATTCCAAGCATTTTATTTTATAGACAATTAAATAGAGAATCTTTAGGGATTTGGTCTTTTATATGGACAAGGTTGTTTCGTAGTTTGTCTGATTGAGTACTCTTCTGATATCATCTGACGTGTCTGCTCTATATGTAATAACAATTGTTGAGATCCATGTTTTCGGAATGCGTTTTCGACCTTACTTAATGTCAGTGTTGGGTAGCTGTTTTGCTTGAGAGTTTCAGTAATGTTTGATATTTCTTATTTTTCCTTCTCATCCGTTATCAGAGAGTGTGCTCATCTAAGAAGACTTGAAACAACTGAAATCTTTGCTCTGATGGGGTGTGATGATTTGAAGACTAAATATTTATTGGAGTGGGTTTTCTTCCTGAATATGCATATACTAAAATGTCCGTTTTCCCTCCTCTTAACTAGACAGGCAGTCTAGAAATGGTGGTTCACCGACGTCTGATTCTGCTTCCGAAGTAAACTGGATTCTCGGAGATACACAGTTTATTTTCTTCAGGAATGAACTGTGTAGATCTCGTTTTAGTACTACAAAAGTATCATCTACATATCTTAACCATATTTTAGGAGTGAGTATGCTTGAAAAGATGTTATTTTCGAATCTATTCATGAAAAGGTCAGCGACTATTGCGGAGACTGTTATCTTTACCAATTGACCAACTTGACAACAACAAAAAGTGACCCCAGACTGACGAACGATGATCAAGTTAGTAAACTTTATTTTGATACCATAACAGATGTACTATTACCTTTGTTATTTGGTTTAGTGATCTTCATTGTTATTTTGCCTTTCAATATACCCCCTTTTAACTTGACCTAAGTAGTTTATTTTCTCAGCTCTTAACTCTTTGTTATAGATATGCTGAGTGGATTTTGTAAATTCCGGTTTAATAATACTACTTTGATAAAGCTATTAGCATTAAATAGCGAAACATCAGTAAAAACAATATCGTTTTGTTTTTCATTCATTGGGAAATACAAAAAACCTCTATTACCTTTTCAATCTGTTTTTCTTTCACGTAATTTGTTATTGGCCTCGACGAAGTTTAGTGGATACCCGCTCTCTATGTAATTTTCTTCCACTTGTTTGAGTTCATGCTCAACACTATTCCTTCACTACAGATTCTCCGGACCCATTTTGACAGAGAACAGATTAAATGTGAATAGATCTTTTTAAAAGACGCGCCAGCTCTCCTTGTGAGTAGCACATCAAGGAAAGATAGTTTTCAATTGTTGGTTTGTAGGGATTTGATTGGTTACAGGATTTTCATCATGAGCTGACATTAGTTAGAGAACCATTGGAAAACCTAGGAGTACTGGACAGCTGTTTCGTCAGCCTTGTTTGGGACTCTTCATCAGTACGCACCCGCCGGGGTTCGAACCCAGGACCTTCTGGTTACAAGGCGAGCTAGCTCGTAGACCATTAAGCCACTGGGACATGATCCAATGGTCCATGAATTCTAACTTCTGCCAATTCACGACATAGCGCGACCCCTAGCCAATGTCTTCGGCGAGTATTTGTCCTCACGCCCGACCTGATGCACTCTACTGGTCACGACTTCTCACTAGAACCCCAGGCAACTACCTACCTGAATAGGGCAAGTCACTAGTGAGCATCTCATTGATATTCAAGTGTTGGTTTGTGGGGATTTGATTGGTTACAGGATTTTCAGTTTCGTTTTCTAAAGTGAACCTGACAGAGGGATGGCTTAAGGTTTATTTATACAGTTTGCAGAAATTTTACTAACACATGTTATTCTTATGCTTGCGAAAAGAGCAACCAAATCATTAAATTGTGCAATTCTGGTTCATCTAGTGGATAGCGAACACAGCATCAAAGTAGAAGAGTCATTTACAGTTGTGTATCGAGTACCAAACAATCTCCCCAAAGGCACACGATTACGCCTCCTAGCCATAGCTGAGGCTTTAGAGATTAACAGAGAAAGACCAGACTTATGTGTACAGAAGAAACTTATTCACTCTGTCTATCTACCCTGGCCCACTATAAGGTCACCAGGATCATAATTTTCCGTATTATTATTACTATTATTATCATTCTGTGATATCATGTCTTTATTATCCATTTCTACACCCAATTTATTTCACCTCATTGTTACCCTTAATTTTGTCAACCTTTGTGATTTTATACTAAGCCTACCAACTCTGTAACATCTTATCACAATTTACAATTTAGCCTCTTTATTTTATTACTAGACATCATCGGTCAGCCCTCACATTCAGTGTCGCCTTTGTTAATGTGTGTTTTTATGTATTTTGTGTCTATCGTATTTCTCTCACCCCAATGACACTTGTATTCTGTTGACTATAAAACAACACTATATCACCCAATTGTTCATTCACACTTCATCACATTTTTCTGACTATACACACCATATATACATTTGATTGATTATGTTAACTAATGGACTATCATCTCAACTTACACATGCACCCCAATACAGTTTCTGATATTATTTTCATTTGCCTTTATTGGCTATATGTGTACTCTATTATTCATGGATTTATAACTGTAGAGCCTGAAGAAGAAGAAGAAGTTATCGAAAACAATTGTTCGCTCAAAATCTTGTTTTGATTTATGACAAGTTGTTTTGTTCGGCATTCAGGTTAACTCAATCTATCCAGCCACAAAACATGATATGAGGAAATTTCATAATAATAATATTGGAAAAGTGGAATTATAATTTGTTATAAACTGAATATAAACATGTTACCTATCATTTTGGGAGTGCTACCTCCACCTAGATGAAAAAAGTAGTCAGAAAAATAATCCTTGTTTAACTATACTACTGAATTAAATTATATTTATAATTGGAGGATTTCATCATGAGCTGACATCAGTTAGAGAACCACTGAAAACCTGGGAGTACTGGACAGCTGTTTCGTCCTAGTTTGGGACTCTTCATCAGTACGCACCCACCGGGATTCGAACCCAGGACCTTCTGGTTACAAGGCGAGCTAGCTCGTAGACCATTAGACCACTGGGACCCGATCCAATGGTCCTTGAATTCTAACTTCTGCCAATTCACGACATAGCGCGACCATTTCGCAATGTCTTCTTAGATGAGTTACCGTCACATCTTCAACCTGCTGTACCCTACTGGTCACGGCTTCCCACTAGAACCCCAGGTTAACTGCCTGAATAGGGCCAGTCACTAGTGAGCATCAGATTAATTTTCAAGTATTGGTTCGGTTGAAGATGTGACAGTAACTCATCTAAGAAGACATTGCGAAATGGTCGCGCTATGTCGTGAATTGGCAGAAGTTAGAATTCAAGGACCATTGGATCGGGTCCCAGTGGTCTAATGGTCTACGAGCTAGCTCGCCTTGTAACCAGAAGGTCCTGGGTTCGAATCCCGGTGGGTGCGTACTGATGAAGAGTCCCAAACTAGGACGAAACAGCTGTCCAGTACTCCCAGGTTTTCAGTGGTTCTCTAACTGATGTCAGCTCATGATGAAATCCTCCAATTATAAATAAACAAAATCCCTACCAAACCAATACTTGTAAATTATATTTCATTATATACAGTTTAATAATGAACAGTACATTGATGGTAATAAATAGGATTTAATGAAGAAAACAAATTGCCTGTTTGTTAGGTGATTGGAGGCAGTCATAAAGGGAACTGACTAGACACAGTACATTGGTTACTTCCTAGCGATATATATATTCATCACAGTCTTACACAAGGTCGGCTGTGAGATGTAGTACGTTAATGGTAACGTCTCTGACTGTTCCAGTGTGTGGTATGGGCGAGCCACCTGCACTGCCCAGATGACTGGCAGATTGTCGTAGAGAACTTGAAAATGTATTAGCTTTGTTCATCTTATGATATCCTCTTTTTGATGAAAGCACAACTGCATACAGGAATAAGACAAGGCTGGCTACCTTTTATCAACGATGTTATTCCTAATTGTGGTGGGGTGACTGGATTATGCGGAGGACTGTGCGTTGGGAGCGATGAGACAGAAATATGCTGGACGACGACGGATAACAAGACTCTACAAGATCTGGATTTCGCCTGTGGGTGACTTATGTTTAATGTCACGCACACAGACTCGAAGACTTTCAGGCAGGCGGAAACCAAAAAAACTGGCAAAAGAAGCAGTGCAACGAAGACAGGACTGACTCTACGTGAACATAGAAAAGGTGGAGACGGAGGCGATGAAGATAACCAAAGAACCGCAACAACAACAACAATAACAACCAGCACCAATCACCATCAAAGGGAGAGATTTTTGAAAGAGGTTACCTCCTTCACTTATCTAGGAAGCATCGTTCTCAACTACAGACACACGGAACGGATGAAGTTGTCAAAGTCAGAATCGGAAGGACAAGATACGCCTTCATCAATCTGAAACCAGTTTGAAAATCTTCTGCTTCACTCAGCCAACATAAAGAACAAATGAACTGTCGTCAAGATTTGACAGAATAGTTCTAAAATATTTGGGCGCCGAGTGAGAAGTAGACATTTGTAAAAAATTATATTTATATATATTATTGAAATGAGTAATTCCAGCGTTTCCTGTGTTCGGCAATCTGGTCCGAACTTCTTCAGGGAAATTAATCGAAATTAACATAACAGAGGTTTATATATAAAATGAACATCAACTGTTTTAAAAACTTTGTCCAGTCATGAGTCATTCAACAAGTATCAGCAAGTATAATAAACAAAATTTTATGAGCTGTGATCAAAATTTGACCTCGGACTTGCAAATATTGGTCTACCTTTGTTAAACACTTTAAGCAGAGTGTGTATGTGTGTGTGGGTAAACAGTTGTATGTTAATTTCGATTAATTTCCCTGAAGAAGTTCGGACCAGATTGCCGAACGAAACGTTGGAAATACTCATTTCAATCTCGCTGAGACTTTACAAATATAATTTTTTACAAATGTCTACTCCTCACTCGGCGCCCAAATATTTTAGAACTATTCTGTCAAATCTTGACGACAGTTCATTTGAATTATTTTCCAATCGAATTAAATTAACAAAGAAACTATGTAATTGGCACAATCATCGTGTTTTCACTCTCCGTTGTCTGCAACAGAATGCATATCCTAAATCCGTAGCTGTTGAGTCACCTGACAACTCCAGTAGGTCGAATAAAGCAGCTCAATCTTCAGAAAGAGGACAAAACAATAAGTCCGACAGGGTGCTTCTACTAAACTCTAATCCTAAACACCATAATTTTGAAAATACGTCTAATCATAAAATTTCAGATACTAACAGTTTGAACAGACATGAAGGCGTGATGTTAGCTGATGCATAGGAAATCCTGATTAATAAATAAAAAATGGATATGTATCACTAATTATTAATACTTGGTCAAAATTCTCGACTGTCCATATCTTCTTCTTATGGAGACGTTAAGAAATGTTTTACAACTGTTTACCCACACACACATACACACTCTGCTTAAAGTGTTTAACAAAGGTAGACCAATATTTGCAAGTCCGAGGTCAAATTTTGATCACAGCTCATAAAATTTTGTTTACTATACTTGCTGATACTTGTTGAATGACTTATGATTGGACAAAGTTTTTAAAAACAATTGATGTCCCTTTTATATATAAACCTCTGTTATGTTAATTTCGATTAATTTCCCTGAAGAAGTTCGGACCAGATTGCCGAACGAAACGTTGGAATTACTCATTTCAATCTCGCTGAGATTTTACAAATATAATTTTTTTATGAAGAACAAGATTCGTATTTTCAACACTAATGTCAAGTAACGAAAAGGACTTCCAACAGGTTGCAGACTTTTATCAACAGATGCCCTCTTCACTCCATACTGAAGATCAAATAACCAGTAAGAATTAGTAACAAGAAACTGTGGGAACAAACCAACCGAGCAAGAGCCGATCGCTTAACAAATATGTAGTAGAAAATGGAGATGGATTGGGCACACACCACTGAGGAGACCGTCGAATGACATCGCGTGCCAGGCCCTCGAGTGGAATCCAAATGAGAAGCGACGAGTGGGTAATCGGCGAGAGGGTGATATGGAGGAGATCATGTGAGGAATGAAAGAGAGATTATTGACAATCGTGGGCACAGCCAGATGAAAAGGACAGCAGAAAGTAGAAGAAAGTGGAGATGTTTTGTTGAAGCCGTATGTTCCACTTGGAACCCAAGCGAATAATAATGATAATACAACTGTGAGAATCGCATAACAAATCGATCACGTAAAGAAATCCAATATCTACCTCTTCTTTAAGATCTGTTGCAGTCAGTTGTCAGTCAAGCATTCTAGGGTACTCATGATGTTTAGTGAACTTAATCCATTCACTTCAAACAAGTTATTAGGTAATAAATATTCACTCTGAACATTAAGGAAAAGGTTATGTGCTCAATCGACATAGAATCTTTATTCATCAATATTGCACTTCATGAAACTGTTGATTTCATTTGCGATTACATCACAAGCAATGAGATACAATTACCTATTCTTGTCACTTACATCAGAGACATTATCTTAACATGTACAGAAAATACCAGATTCAATTGCCTAGAAAATACATACAGGCAAATCGATGGTGTTGCGATGAGGAGCCCCCTTGGACCCCTGTTAGCAGATATATTCATGTCTAAACTGGAGAAACAAATGCAAGGTATTCCAGAAGAATTTATGCTGTATAAACGTTATTTGGACGATACACTCAATGTTGTTAATTATAGTAGGTCTATTGAAAACGTTGTTACTCTATTTAATCATATTCATCCAAATATCCAAGTGACTTCCATACTCTAATCGAATAACAAACTCGGTTTCCTGGATATTACAATGACCAGGAGAGATGATGGAACGATTAAACGATCTAAATTTCGTAAACAGATATGGAGTGGACAATATCTTCATTTCACCAGTTTTGTTCCAATCCAGTATAAACGTTCCCTAGTGAAATGTTTGTTCTCAAGGGCCCGAAAAATATGTACGAGCAACACATTGATGGATGAGCTTCGAAATATACATTCAGTTTTATTAGCTAATGGTTATCCAGAAAACTTTATCAATTTTCACAATAATAAGGATAGACCATATCTTGAAAAGACAGCTTCTGTACCATTCAAGCGTGACCAGATTATGCAGTTGAAAGCTGGCTCGAAGACTTCGGTCAGCCATCAAACGCACATTCTACACCGCCAAATCTCTTTTTCTCACTTGCTGAACATTTTCGGTCCCTGTACCTACACGATTAAAGGACGAAATTCTGTGAACTCTACTTCAAACTGTATCTACAAGTTCAGCTGCAGTTGCGGTGACACTTATATAGGTAGAACCAATAGAATATTTAAATACTGTCGAAAGGAACACGTTCCGAAGTGGTTATTAAAACACAGAAAATCCCAATGCAATTATTAATCTGAATAGAAATCTATCATCATCCATTGCAAAGCACTTATTAATGTCAGGTCACTAAATCAATATTAATGACCACTTCACAATTATTTCAAATAACTCGAATTCAAGGTTGGTTATTAAAGGTGATGGAAGCACTTTTGGGGATTAATCACATACATCCTAAACTACATGTACAAAAATCAATAGACTTAGACCTTCTCGTTTACCATGGACTACCTGACCTATTTAAATATGATTGGTCATTAGTATGTACTTTTGTTTTATATAACTGAGTAATTGTCATGCTCTTTATTTTATTTTATTGTGAACCATGTTAGTTGCAAAGCGATTGCAGAGAAAATACGAAATGAAGATATCATCTCGCGAAATTTGTCTT